GCACTTGCAATGTAGATGCCTGCCGCCACTATCAGAGTAGTCAAAACTCCTCGCTGCTCATCGCCCCCTCATCAGCAGCAGCAAACAAAGATTGAAAGCTATGCGAGTGACCAATTTGCAAGATGGAGAGCACGAGTGATGGAAAGCACACTTGCGATGCACATGCTCACCGCCATTGGCTAAGTCGTCAAACGCTGCTCATCGCCCCCTCATCACTGACTCGTCAGGAGCATCAAGCAAAGATGGATGGACAGGTATGCGAGCAATCAACTTTGCAAGATCAGAGGCTACGGACGCCTAGGCATGAACAGTGTGCGCTCAGACAATGACTTCTCCAAAGTGTATTTGAACGTAAGTACGGTCCAATGCAACTGAAGAAACTAACAACTTGCTGCAGGTGGTGCAGCCTGTACAGCCCCCCTAGACAGCCTTGCATAGCTGTCCACTGCCCCAACGGTCAAAAATTGCGCGAGTACCTGGCGAGCCCGGCCCAACCACTACGGACCACACTCTTCATCCGTCGTTTTTGATGTATCTAGACCGAATGTTGCAGCACATGCAGCTATAATGATCGGGGGTTCTATTCGGTGAAGACGGTAATACACAGCATACAAGCCTACCACATAATAGACTATTTGGGGTGGGGGGGCAGGTGTAGGGTACTAGGTTTTGGGTGAACCTCTTGCGGATTCTAGGAGGGGGATGAGAGGCTTCGGTCGCCCCTTTCATTCCGTTGTTGCCGCCCTTTGGTGGCAAAATTTTATGGTGTTCCTTCTTCTTTTTCAAGCTTTATTTTGGGCCATTTCCACACCCATATCTACATTGGGCCCCAACCCGTCTGATACTGCTGGGGCTGGGCCACAGCCACCTGTTTGCAGGCTCGGTCTCCTTTCCTTTGCCTTTCTCAGCCTGGTAGTTGGGAAAAGTGGGTGTCATCCATTGCTCCCCTATTCTCCAATTTTGTGAGTCATCTGATCTTCACCTTTTCCTTTTTCCAACCCATTTCATTCAGTTTTCTCCCCCTTTTACCTATCCACTTCCCCCCCCCCTAAGTACGCTGATTTTTTCTTCGTAGAGCTCTCCCCCACCTTGTTTCCCCTTTTCACCCGTTCACCCTCTTTTCCCTGGTTTCTTTGCTTTCGCGCAGCCCCTAGCATTACTGAACTGGAGCTGATTTGATTCCATAACTTCCCAATCCAGGGGTCATTACTTGTACAGTCCACCCACCAGACTGTTTTTTCTATATATGCAATGAATTGCAGTGGCATGCGAGCTGTACACTAACCTTGTTTGATGTTGCCTGGTTTTGAGTCCTTCGGGATTTGATCCCGCAACCTGTTTGTCTGTTTGTTTGCTTGTTGGCTGTGTTTGCCTGTTTATTTTGAGCCTTGTTGGACTCGATCCCTAGACCTGTSAGCAGCAGTCTCTGTTGGCTGGTCATAGATCCTTCGGGCTGTTTTGGGTTGTTTCAGTAGGAGGAACGTAGGCCTCTCCCCTCTGGTGCTGTTTTCTGTCTAGATGCAGTCCTAGGCTGTAGATGCAAAACTAAGCTGTAGGCTGTCGGGTCTGGGAGGCTGGAGATGAACAAAAGTACCGAGGGCAAGGTTTTAGGGGTTCTGTTCGTCATTTTTTTCACCACGAAGTGCTGCTGGAGGTCGCTGCTGAAGCTGCGTTAATTCCAAGTGCTGCTCCTCCTTCCTCGTGGAAGGGAAGCTGACAGCCATAGCTGGGYTTACCTGGCTTGTGTGGAATTGGCCCYGGGGCATCAGGCCCTGCTTTGTGAGATGCTTCCTCCACCGCKGTTCTGTTAGGGTTTTGACAGCTGCCATCGAAGCAGCTTTTCCATGTCTGCTTCGAAGTGGCAGGTCACCATCTTCATCGAGCTGTTGTGCTTCTTCTTYGTCTAGGGAGCTTCCCTCCTTTGCTGATCGGACACGTCATCTGCAGTGGGCATCGCGGTTGAACTGCTGAGTGACTGTTTGGGGATACAAGGGTTGGTGGCGATTAGTGGGCTTGATAGGTTGGGCGCAGGCCTGCGCCATAGCTGTGAGCTCGAAGGTGTGGGAGGAAGAAGAAGTCTCCCTCGATGAAACCCTGTAAATAATTTGTTCATAGATGTTGTTAACGTGGTTGGGATTCTTGGAGTTGTGCTGTTGATTGAACTGGGAGAGAAGGTAAGTTAGAATTGATTTCGTTTCAATTCTATTTTTGGTATTTGTGTGCTTCCGCTGTGCAATTTCATCATCCGGTTTGGTGTGGATTTTCTCTCTCCAAGTCTACTTGCAATTTCGCATGTGTATGGCAACATGTGTATGCTATGCTGGATTCGTTTTCAATCAGGCACATATCATATATATACAATAAACTTTACCTATCCCTTTGGAGATCTAAGAGACATAGTAATTTCCCCCCCTTTTGCTTTCCGCCCATTCTTCACCCTTCAACATAAGTCGGCGCACGTGCGGATGACACCAGCACACTTCTGAGACCCTGGGTGAATGATAAGCACCCAGGGCAGGTCAGGTATAGTACACTTTCGGAGATGGCGAACTGGGTTCTGCTCCTATTAGCAGCAAACAATTCAACTTCTTGTTATTGTTTTGTCGCATGATACAATTCCTCTGATTCCTATTTGCATTAAACCTCATTTCAGTTTAGAAGATTTCTACTATGCCTTAGCAATGCGCTTGTTTCTGAAAAGATTTCGGAATCCGTTGAAACTTGGAAAGGGGTCCAAGGCTCCAAGCTCTTGCTTATTCTTCAGCAAACTACAATCCCTCAGTAAGCTTTTTATTCCTTACATGAGCACCCAGGCTGTACTTGCAAAAACAACTCAATCCCCTCAGTAATCTTTTTATTCCTTACATGAGCACCCAGGCTGTACTTGCAAAAACAACTCAATCCCCTCAGTGATCAATTCCCTTTTGAATTGCCTCCAATTCAAAACTTCACCGATCAATAGCCCCAGAATCCCAAGCTGTACCTGAGATCGTCAACAGGTGGTCATGGCCGTACTCACCCTCACCCAGCCGTATCCAGCAGTCACGGCCGGGTTCTGGTCGGCCTTGGTAACGATGGGTGGGTATGGGTGGGTACTCTGATCAGGCCGGTAAGGGTGACGGGCACGGATAGCCCTTGAATCCCAACCTGAGGTCGTCAACGGGCGGTCAGTGCCTCACTTGCCCTCGCTCAGCTGCAACCAGCAGTTTTGGTCAGGTTCTGGTCCGCCTTCCTACCAATGGGTGGGTATGGGTGGTTACTGTGATCAGGCTGGCAAGGGTGATGGCCGTGTAAGGGTTTGGTCTGGGTCACTTGAACACCGACCAAACAAACCTCTTCATGACTGTATGTGATCGGAAAGATAGCTCGTATGAATTCATCATGAGGGTGAGTTGTGGTGTTCAGGGGAAGTATTCGCCCCAACAACCACCCCGCTCTGAGTACGCACTATGGTTACAATTTGATTCTGTTCATCTTTTTGTGGATAATGAACCTCAATCCATAAAAGGAGGGAGGATCAGATGTCATTCTTGGGGCCTGCACCACCCTAAGTCCTTGCAGTGTATCAATCCGCCATGTGGAGAAAATCAGGGCCAGGTGCTTCAGCTGTGCCACATTTTGAACATGGCATGGCTGAAGCGCCCACGCACGTCTCTTCAACCAGTAGGAAATTGCCACAGCTGTTCTCCTCTCCACTCCCTCCCCAGATCCACGGAGCAGCTATCACCACACAGAGGCCCAGCGGGAGGAGCAGCACGCAAGGACACAGCAAGGGTGGGTGCATGGCAAACTGTCATAGGCAATGGGTACACGTCCGGGCATGAGTGCATGGCTGTGGGTGCAACTGGATTGGGAAGGTATGGGTGGATGGAAATCAGTCACTGGTATGGGCGACAGGCGACTTAGGGTAAGTGGTATTCTGAGGTGCTTGTGGGTCAAGGTAAACTTGAAATGCAGTTCGGCATGGATAGGTCCACATATAAAATACTCTCGCAGACGGGCTGGGGTGGGTACGGGTTGGGGAAACCTGGTCGGGCCAATACACATGAACAGAGAAATAACAATGTGTTGTGGCCTCTCTGCTGTGCCCTACGCTTGAGACAACAGCATTCCCTAGTGTAGGTTATGCCATGAAAGTTGTGGTAAGATCTTCGTGAGCTGTTCGGCCCCCCACAAACTTTCTTTTTATTTTACCCTTCTCCCACCGCCCTCCCCCCGGCTGCGACGGAACTGATATACCGCTGAGTTCACTATGGTGCAGGGGCAGAAACCGCGGTGGTCAGCCAGCCGGCCGTGGGGGGTCGGTCTGGAGGCCTGAAAATTCAGTGCACCAACTTTGACCATTTTTGCGCTCAGAGGTTTTTCGTGAGAAATTCAAAAATACTAAAAAACACAGGTTCATAACTCAAAAATCTCTTCACAACTCATAATAGATTTGATGTTGATCTTTTCCGGAAGTATTAGGAAATCAGAAAACACTGCTAAGATGTCAAAAACGATTCTGGCGGCAAACATTCGTGTTTTATGTGAATTTTTGCATCTTTTTCCCCCCTGCTATTGGTAGGCCCCAAAACCTTTCGGTGAAATGGGCAACCGGTTCCCAAAGTTGGAAGCACCAGGGGCACAGGTGGTTTAACCCCTTTAAAAAGTTTAATATTATTCTATTCACCAAAACCTGAGCTAAATACGGCCATCATTCCCTGTCACCTGTTCTCCACAAACGATGCGATGAAGCATATGTGATGCTTTGAAAGTTGTGGTAGAGCACCCACAGCGTGTTCTGCCGTTCAGGTACCATTTCTTCTTAACCCTTTATTGTATTCAGCCAACGAATGAAAAGCAAAAAGAATCGGCAAACCACCATGAAGTAGCCACACGTCTGTAAGGCACTCGCATCGCGCGGATGAGAAGAGGGAGGAGTGCCTGCTGCGACAACAAATTTGCCATTGACTTGACATCAACAAAGTCTGGGAATGAATGGTTGGCATGACAATTCTCACCTGAATGTTACAAGAATACTCCCGAATGACAGGAAACCACTTTCCTGGATCTCGATTAGAATTATACGCTACCCAAAGCTTCGAAAGCAAGTGGTTTTCAAATTCACTCTGCATCACAACAACTTGCCCAGTTATGGATCTTTCAGAAGCACCACAACATGTCAAAAAGAAATTGCAGAAAAGAAGTACATACACTGTGGTGACTGTACACACACAGCAGGCTCAAATGCACACGCGCACACATGCAGCAGGCTCACATGCAAGGGCACATACTTCTGAGCCTCTTTTCCCCGAGGCTCGAAACACCCTGCGTGCCAAAAAAAAAACAAACCTGCTCTGGCCTTCTTTTGGCTGGCGCCGCCAGCCATTTTGCTCCAGCTGCCGATCCCCGAAAGTTGTGGCGTGCATGCAGCCGCGTCGGAGAAAAATGGCTGGGAAACGTACTGGTGGTTTAATTGCTCATGGTATGTTTTTGCCACTTTTTAGCACATAAAGACGGGAGGGATAATGGAGATTGAATGGAGATACTAACCAGACATAACATACACCAAGTGCGTGCCCAGATGGAATGCACACCAGGAAGGGTGGCTAAATACATGCGATGTGTATGTAAGGTCCTTACAATGTGTGCAAGATTATGCACCAGATTTCCATGCTGATAGCTATTTTCCTTTGCACTAGCCCCCAAGGATCATAAGTCTGCAGGCTGGCATGAACATCGTGTGCAGATCTGCGTTACCGCACGCTGATTGAGCGCAGGGCCAGAGCTCAAATTTTAGAGCTCCAATCAATCCCGCGCTCAAAAAAGCTTGAGCAAGCTTTGAGCAAGCGCAGGAATATTTTTTTCCCCAGAAAATAATCAGCAAAAAAAAAATAAAAAATACAGGTTGCAGATATTTTTTAGATCTACAACCTTATGTTTGTTATTTTATTTTTTGAAGTTTTTCTATATTAAGAAAAAAAAACAGAAACATAAAGGAAAGAAAATAACAAAAAAAAAAAACAATCTGAAATGGGTAGTTTTTTTTTTGTTTTTCTTTTTTTTAAAGGCTAATTCTTTAAACCCAACCAATTCAATTACCTGTCGAATCTGGACAGGACGGCCTTTCAGGCCTTTTTTATTGTCATTATAGTATTACGGGGAACCCCGTAGCAGCCACATCCGTGCTCATGCCTCCAACGAGGGAACATGCGGGAGCTGCACCCACCAGCAGGTGCGATACCTGCAACAGCAGGTGGGCGATACCAGCCAGGGGTCAGCCGGTAGCATCAGGACCGAGCTTCTTCGATGGGCCAGTCACTGTGCCTCCCCTCCGGTCCCCTCCCCCTATGAACATCAGCAGTCCCTGGTCAATGCCACTCGGGGGGACCAACGGCATATCTCTAGGTGGGGGGCGCCAAACTTGCCCAGGAAGGTACATGAGGCCAATGGGGATTGAACCCAAGACCTCCTGAATGCCACTTGCGTGCCTTACCAACTGAGCTAGGCCGCTGGATGGTCGGTTTTTATTATTTCCACAGAGATTTCTTTGCGGAAAAAAAATTAACAAAATAAATAATAAATAATATAGTCTTGTAGATATTTTGAATATCTACGACCGCATATGATTTATTTTTTATTTTTTAAGTTCGTATATATATTTTTAAAAATAGAAAATATCAAAACGAGAGAAAAAAAGACACTCACAGACCCCCCCAAACCCCCCCCCCACACACACGCACACACACACATACATCTGTGCACACACACACACACACACACACACACACACACACACACACACACACACACACACACACAC